GCCCAGTTTGATCGCCGGAAACCAAGCCCTGGGCGCTCCGTGGGAAGCGTGCCCACGTCAGGTCAGCCGGGGCGGGTCGAGCAGCCCCGGCCTCTGCTCCCACGCGCCGGATGGAGCCCCCGGGGCCACCGGGCAGCAGCGTCCACGCGGCCACGGCGTCCACGCGCTGCCCACGCGCCAGGGTCAGTGGCTCTCGATCTCCTGCCTGATCTCGGAGATGTACGGGTGGTCCTTGCCGTGGGCGACCTCCATGATGGCGATGGCCTGGGGGAGAGGTGGGCTGAGGGGGGACCCCAGAACCCCACACGCCCCCACACTTCCAGAGGCCACGCAGAGGGGTGCCGGCGGTCTCTTCCCCCAACCCGTACCCCGTTCCCACGATGTGAAGGATGACACAGATTCCTTCCGGCCCCAGACCCCAGTTATCTCAGCACACCTGCTCAAGGTAAACACCTGAAACAGGTAAACAGGTGGCCGGGAGGTGCAGAGAAGCCTGGCCAGCAAGTGCACAGTGATGTGGCCACCCCTCCCCCTCCCCGGCACCCCAGGTCAGCTGCTCTTTCCGCCGCAAAGGCAGTGGGAGTCCAGCCAGAGGGGTACAAGCCAGCCTCGGGCCCCCACCTGCAAGAGGCCAAGGCCGAGACCCCCAGGGGCGCACGACCCCACCCTCAGAGAGAGCAAGAAACGTCAGGCGACCGGACAGTGAAGTTCTGTGATGGGACCACAGACGGGAGGGAGACGGGAATGACCCAAAGGGCCGTTGCTGGGAGCCTGTCTCGGGAACAAGGCGGAGGTAAGGACCCAGGGGCCCCAGGGCACCCAACAAATAGCGCCCCACGAAGATGGTACAGGAAAGCTGCTGAAAGGCGAATACTGGACGGAAAGGGCAGAGGGTCCCCTGCAGGGACAGCAGTCGGTTGGCTGAAATGTTGGAAGCAAAGGGTCAGACGGGAGCCCAAGGCTCCAGCCCAGAGCCCAAGGCTCCAGCCCAGAGCTGCCCACGAAGGAGCTGTGAGGGTCCAAGCCACAGATGGGCCACCACCCCATCCAGGGCAGTGCCTGAGAGCCCAACGATGGTCACGGGAGAACAGGGGCATGGCCCAGCTGGCAGGGAGCAAAGCCCCTCGGCACGGCCTCAAAAATAAAGGACCTCAAAGGCAGTCCAGGGCCCAGACGCGAACAACCGTCCACGTGACCGAGGCCCAGCACCGTAAGCTGAAGACAGGGCCACAGAGTCAGCCATCGAGGCCGCTAGACACAAGCCATCTTTGTAAAGAGACTGACATTTATGGGGGCTCCGAAAAGGCCTCATGTTCGGAAGCAGCCCTGAGGGAAAGGAGCGATGGTGTCGCGTCTGACCCTGACCTCAGAAGTTACTACAAAGCAACGGTGATACAAACGGTGTGGCACTGGCTGCACACTGGACGGCCAGAGCACGGGGCAGCTGGACCACCCCGGGGAAGGAGAGTCCCCTGAGAACTGGTGCCGGACACGTGAGGCCCCCATGTTCCCTTTTTCAGTCAGGAAAGCTTTGGCTTTTGGGGTTGTGTGTGTGTGGGGGGGGTCCATATGAATTCCAGAAATCTCTGTTCTACTTTGAAGAATGCAGTTCTGGGGTTTTTACTGGGCTTGCACGGAATCTGTGAATTGCTCTGGGTGAAGGACACTGTGCAAGGTGGGTCTTCCGATCCAGGGGCAGGGGGCGCTCCTGACCGCGCCTGGGGGAGGAATCCTGGACTGTGAAAAAGCCATGGGAGTTTAAACAGCAAAGCTAAAGAAGCAAAAGGCGCTGGGAACAGTAGGAAATGCCGCATACAAGGATGACCTCAGGACACTCCATCCCCGGCTCCAAACACAAGAATAAGGTCCCCAGGGACTTGAGGTTTACACATTGGACCTGCAAGGATAAAGTTTCTAGAACAAAACCACGGTGGCCCGTTCTGTGACATCAACAAGACACTTCTGCTGACTGCCACCCATGAAAACAGCAACTGGGGGCCCTCCCTGGTGGTGCAGCCGCTTCAGTCCGAGTTTGATCCCCGGCCCCGGAGGGGACCCCCAGGGCACGGCAGACCCCTCCTGTCTCCCTGCTGCTCTGCTCAGCCGTGGACTTCGTCCATCTGCCTGTCCTGCTCCCCAGCTCCCCACTCTGTCTCTGGTGAATCCTCTCGCTGCCCCTGCGCCTCTCACCTGTACCCCTGAGGGAATGTCTGGAACATTCTGGGCCAGCCAGACCCGGCAGGTACACAGAGAACCACCCAGCAGCCTCAAATACTCTCAATAGCCCGTGGGCATCAGAAGACGCCCTGAGGGTGCTCAGGTTAAAGGGGCCGGGCGTATGGGGTGGGGTGCAGAAAATAAAATATCACCCCCACAGGGCCAGGCAGGCGCCTGTCGCCCGGCTCAGCCCCCACCCGTCCACCCTGCGCTGGCACAGAGCCCTGGCCATCCCCTCGCGATGACTGGCCACTCAGCTGTCCCTCACGCCCCCTCGCTCTCCGAGCCAGGCCAGGCCCGGGCTCCCTTTGGGACAGTTCGGGGGGGCCTCGATGCACTATCCACTCACAGTCTCCTGGGGAGGCCCCAGGAGCCCAGAGGGGTGCGTGCCCCCACGCAAACAAGTGTTTTCTTACTGGAGTAAGCGGAGTGTCCCGGGGCTCACAACTTAACAACCGTGGACACGTAAGCGACTGTGGCCTGGGACTGTCCAGCCCCATCCAGGCACGGCGGCCAGGGTGCTGGCCCCCCAGTGGGGTGCTGGCCCCCCAGGGCCTCATCACAACAGAGTGGGCGGAGCTGGGGTGCTCGGGAACGAGGAAGCGTCCCAGCCCGCCCGCCCGCCCCAGGTCAGTGTCCACCCGTGAGCCCCGGCTTCTTCCTCAGAAGCCCCAGCCCCAAGGTCCTCTCCAGACCCAGCAGCCGGGCTCCCTCCCTATCGAGGTCATACACCCCAAATCCAGCTGCGGACGCTCCCCCAGTCCACCGCCAGGGGGCGAGTCAGAGCTGGCCCTGGCCACGGCTTCACTGACCCCACGCCACAGCCGCCCGGGGGGCCAGGGAGGGAGGGTGTCCGGGCACGGGCATGCCTGGCCTCGGGCCTCCGACGTACCTTCTTGAGGGCCTTCTGTCCGGCCGATCTGTTCTCCAGGCCCATGTACAGCCGGCCCAGCTTGAGCCACATGGAAGCCACGTTGAGGGAGTACAGAGGATAATGCTTGCTGGGGGAGAAAGCAGGCTGTGTCGGTGGCTGGCCCGGCTGCCCTCGACAGTCCAGGTGACCGTTCCACGCAAGCTGGCCTGCTAAGACATCTGCCCCAGTCGGGCCCACCCCCAGGGAGGGCGGAGCCTTGCACACTGGCGTCGAGACCCCAGATCCAATCTCACCCCACAGCCCCTTGGGTCAGCAGGGTGACCGGCCCCTCAAGCCCAGGGAAAGCCGGGCTTTCTGTGGGGGACAGGGCACCCTGTGGGGTGGGGGGGAGGGGGAAGGAGGTGCTATCCTGCTCTGCTGTCCTCGGGGGCAGCGTTAGGGGGTCTCTTGGAGGACGGGTGCCCCCCAGACTGCTCAGCAGCTCAGAGGGCCGTGTGTGTGCGGGAGGCTGAGGCTGCCTCGCTCACCCCAGGGGAGGAGGGGAGACTGACCCCCGACAGCAGCCTGTCCTGCTTCCCAGACGTGATGTGAAGGCCCCTGTCCCCTGGGTGCCCCCTACCGGCCATCCCAGGCAGCGCAGGGTGAGGGACAGCTCGCAGCCAGCAGGCTCTGGCCGCTTTCATGAGAGACACCTGGGTGGGGGGTCAGAGGGCTTCCAGGACCGTGCCCGGATGCTCTGACCCTCCGGGGTTCGGGGGGCCCTGTAAGCCTGGACTGTGGAGGCTCTGGCCGAGACCACCCTGGGTCGGCCGGAAGATGACGCTCAGCTGCCCTGCAGGCAACCCTGCCACTGTCTTCAAACCCAGCTCTGCGGGGACTGAGGCATGGCCCTGGGTGTCCCGGGGCCCCACCTGCTAACCGGAAACTTGAAATGTAAGACAGGAGGGCAGCGCTGACGGAAAGCAAGACTTGGGGGGCTCCCTGCCCATGATCGGGGTTCCTCCCAGTGGCAGGGCCGGGGCGGGGGCCGGGCGGGTCCCTTGGCCTGAAAGGCTGTGGACGGCAACTTGGACGGTCCCTGAGGGCACCCCCAGCCCTATGTCCACTCCCTGCAGCGGGCAGTCGGGAGCCGGGCCAGCCCCACACAGCGGCAGCCTCACGGAGCTCCCGCCTTGGGTGCTGGGACGCGGCCGGCTCTGGGCAGGGTCACCCCGGCCAGGCCCAGCCAGCCGGCCCCACCCGAGGCCAGCGGTGCAGGCGGTCACCTGTAGGGCTTGATGATCTTCTGGCCGTATCGCAGGGCGCCCTCCCAGTCTTGCAGGTACAGGCACACGCCCATGGCCTGATACATCATATGCAACACGTACACGTTGCTATCCTCGAAGACCGAGCTCATCTTCTCCTGGCTGAGCTCACAGATCTCCAGCAGCTCGCTGGGGGGCGCTCTGGAGTCAAGGCGCAAACGGGCAGGACCCAGGGCCAGGGGCTCCACCCTGCGCCACCCTGGCCCCTCTGGGAAAGTCCGCCACAGCGGTTCCACCTTGGAACCGGGGACCCTTCACCACGGGGCTATGCGGGCGAGGGCCGGCCTCCCCCATCGGCCGCCTCAGAGCCTCACTGGCGGGGTGCAGGAGAGGGGGGCGCTCCCGCCCACCGGGAGGCCCCCGCAGGACGAGGCCACGGGGCTGGCGGGGGCCTCGGTGTGACGCCGGCGCGGGACCCTCTGAGTCACAGGGGCGCCCCTCGGCCCTCCGGGGCCCAGCCCGCCCCCCAGCCCGCCCCCCAGCCAGGCCCCAGGATATATTTGTAGTGCTTGGCCCTCCGGAACTCCTCGATGACGTTGCGGGCGTACCGGACCATGTCCCGGACGGCCTCGGCCTTCGGCGGGTGGTACAGCTTCCGGATTTCCACCTTGGCCTTATCCTGAGGGGCGTGACGGGGCCCACGGGGTCAGCGCTGAGGGCCCCCGAGGGGGCACCTGTCATTTTCCTTCCCACTTTAACATCACAAAAGCTAAGATGGGAAACCACCCCGGGGCCAGGTGAGGGCCCTGGAGGAAGCGGTCAGCGGAGGGGGACAGGCAATGAAGCCACAGAACAGCAGGGAGTCGCCGTCCACACGTCCCTCAGAGGTAGGCAGCCGGACGTCACCTCCCCAGGCCCGAGAGCCCGGCCCTCGGCCACGTCTACGCGTCTGCTCAGCCCCGAGAGCCCCGGAGAAAATCCTGCAGGTTCTCAGACTCCCTCTGGGGTGCCGCCTCCCGCCCCCCTCTCTCTTGGACGGCCACGGCTCAGCAAACAGCCCCCCATGACCTGTGCTCGCCGGCACGGGGCGGTGGGGACGCTTTCCCAGCACGAAGTGGGGACGCTTGGGCCCAGCCGGAGCCCTGGGCAGCTCTGGGGGACGAGGCCCCCCTCCCCCGGCGGGGTGCGGGCGGCAGGGCTCACCTTGTCTCTGGAGGTGCACTCACGGCACTCACAGGTGAAGAAGTAGGCGTCTCGGAGGCGGTCATTCCTGTCCTCGGTGGGGTACAGCAGGTCGATGTAGCTGGTGAAAACCTGCAGGCCCAGAGGCAGCGGCCAGTCAGCCCGGTCAGCCGCTGCAACTCGGCTCAGGTCCAGTGTTGTCCGGCCTCCCGGTGGGGAGGAGGGGCCTCCCTCCCCCACTGGAGGGGCCAAGGACTCCCCGGGATCCCTTGGGCGCATGGAGACCCCGGCCCTGGCCCTCGCCTGGGGCTGAGCCCGGGGCGGGCATATGGAGGCGGCCGGCCTGCCTGTCCAGTCTGCTGCTGGAACAGCCGCAGCTCAGCCCACGCCATCAGGCACGTGTCGCCTCAACAGATGGATGTCGCCACGCCGCCGGCCTGCCAGGAGCTGGGGCACTGGCCGGCTGGCCGGGCTCCGGCACAGGCCGGTGGGCTCGGCCCCCCTTGAGTCCCCAGCCTAGAGGGCAGCGTGGGGTCTCACGCGACCCCTGACGCTGGGGAAGGGGGCGCTTTCCTCCTCGAAGGGCAAGGCGCCCCCAGAGCTGTGATTCCCCCAAATGGGGTGCCCTGCCAGGGAGGCGGAGTGGCCTCGGGCTGCCTGCCCTGTGTGCTGAGCGCTGGACAGTGCAGCAAGTGGGCGCGGCCAGCAGATGGCGACAGAGGCCACTCGGTGGCGCTGCTGGGACCCGGAGGACAAAATCATGCTCACACCAGCAGCCACGAACTCGGGGCGGGGGGACACCCCAACTCACTGCCACAGCCTGTTTCAACAGAAGAGGCATCAGGGTTGGCCCTGCGGGACACCTGAAGGCGAGACACCCTGATCTTAAGGCAGGAGACCCTGGTGATGAGTCTGAGCACAGGAGGGGACCTGTGACCCACAGACCAGGTGCGGGCCAGTCCCCAGGCGCAGGCGCGGGCCAGTCCCCAGGTGCGGGCCGGACTCCAGGTGCGGGCCAGCCCCCAGGTGTGGTCAGTCCCCCAGGTGCGGGTCAGTCCCCAGGTG